GAATGGATGCGTCGCCCAACTGGGAAAGAATGGGTTAATTAATGACTGGAGTTTCAGAGCAGCTAAATCTAAAATCTAATCCTGGCAGAGAAAGGTCTGTGTTTCACTTTTATGTTTTTTTTTACATTATCTACACATTAATAATCGATGTTAGCTTCTTAATTCCAGAAAAAGAAAAAAAAGGACAATGTCAGCATACATACCTGGAACTTCCAGGGTTCAGGAGCTAAGCTACATTTTTATCATATTGAATGAAAGTTCTCCATATTCTTTTTACACTCTGATATACTGATTGTTATTCTCTATAGTAGAAGGTTTCTACTGGTCTAAGGGGATGGAAACCCAACCAACATAATGGTTTTCCAAATATTTTTCCCTCTCTCCAGAACAATTTAATTTCTTCACATTGTCTTGATTAGATGACCTCCGTACACACCGTGACATCCACATTGTGAAGGAAGGCCTTCTGCTCTGTCTAATCTGGCTAACAAATTAACAATGCACATGATGTATAAAAGGATAAACCTAACAGTCACATTAAATTAAATAGCATTCCCATGCAGGTAGATCCTCTCTCCAGGCATCCACTTCATTTTGTTTGTTTTTGGATGAGTGCATCATAATAAGATTGTAAAACTTACAGCATCCTGTGCAACATTTATTTCCATATCAGAATAAGAGGTTTGGGTGAGAGCAAAGCTCTGGTTTTGAACTTGTCTGAGCTGGAGGGTTTTACAAAAGTATCCAACACTGAATTTTTTAATGCCACATTAATGCCACCATGATTTAAAGTTGAATCTGCTCTGCCTGGTCTGAAGAAATGATGACCATCTTTTGGGGTAAATTGTGTCTGATTCTCTAAGATGATTTTTAACATCGCACCCTATCTTAATTGTACGTTTTATAATTGGATTTTTGGCTTGCTTCTCTTAATTTTTAGCAGAATTAGAGGGTATAAATAAGGGAAGGGGTAAATGCACATGAATGGATTCCACTTGATTCTAATAAGGAGAATCAGATGTAGAGAAATAAAAAGCCATTGGCTTCATCTGTGCTGCTTACTAAAAATTGGGGCATTGCAGACTCCCACGATCAAATACTGATAGAATAATTTCTAGTCTTGCCTTCTGATAAAAATGCTTTTTGTTAATCTTGAAATCAAATCTGAATGTACTGATATGATTAGAGGAAAGTAATTTGGATAAGTTTTGGCTTTTGAGTAGGTTTATTCTCTCCATAGTAGACTCCCTCTTGGAGAACCAAGCCTCTAATTATTCCTTCCAGAGCAGGATTCCAGATCTGGAATACTTTTTACAAGAGTTTTTGTATTTTGATTCCAGTGTATGCAGTTTATTCCAGAAAAGTGAAAAAAAAAAACACTGGACTTTGTTTCCAAGTTTGAAGGTTTCATCCAGTAGCCCAATAAAGCTTTGTTTTTGTTTAGAAAACATGCAAATAGAAACAGATGAATGGATCCACCCCTTTGGAATGGGGGTCGTTTGGCTTCTTTGTTAGCCTGCAGTGCCCCTTACCTGTCTATGCTTCTTAAAGGGGGCTTGTTAAAGTGAATTGTTGTCCTGGCTAATCAGGTCGAGGTGTTCTGCTCTCCTGTTCAGGGGTTGGGTGTGTGTATGCAGTGTAAACATGTATGCAGTTCAGTTTTTAAGGTTGACTACATCATCTTCAGTGTTTGGTACGCGGAGCTCCGTCTGTGACACTCACTTCCCACGTTTGTTTATCTCCTTCCTCATGCCTTCTATAGGTGTTCATATAGGGTCACATTTCCACTAGAACGCTCTTCTCTAAGAATGTACACTCACCGGCCACTTTATTAGGTACACCTGTCCAACTGCTCGTTAACACTTAATTTCTAAGCAGCCAATCACATGGCGGCAACTCA